CCCACCTCAGTCAGTCCACACCTCAAATCCTCCATGCAGATTCATCCAGGCCAAGACTAAAGGAGCACGTCCCCAGCAGCTAGGACTGTTTCCCAGGGAACAAAGGTTCATAGGCTCTGGCAGAGGGGACGCCGAGGGCCTCGTACTCCCAGGAAACCTTCAGCCATTCTTTTTTTTTTTTAATCCTCACCTGAGGACACGTTTTGCATTCACAGAGTGAGAGGAAGAGAGAGAGAGAGAGAGAGAGAGAAACATCGATGTGAGAGAGATACATCGACTGGCTGCCACCCACATGACCCCAACAGGGCCGGGGACAAACTGCAACCGAGGTACGTGCCCTTAGCGGGAATCGAACCCGGGACTCTCTGGACCGCGGGCCGACACTCTAACTGCTGAGCCACACTAGCCAGGGCCAGCTGTTCTTTGTAGCCAGGCTAGAAGCATAGATTGCACCCAAAGCCCTTCTGCCAGCCTTGGGCCCACTGGGAGGCCACTGCAAACTAGGGAAGCCGGGAATGACCCCAAGGGCCTGAAACCTCCCCAAGTCTTCTCCCTAAACCTTGCTCAAGAGCTGTAAGTGGCCCGGCCACTGCCATACAACCAGGTCTTACTCGGTGGGAAGTTGAGAAGCTCTGGGGGGTATGGCTTCCTCTTGGGTAGAGACCTGACTAGAACAAAGCCCCAGTCTGAATGGTCTAGATGCCCTCTGGCTCCTGGCATACAGTAGGCCCTTAATAAATGCCAAATAATAATAACGGTTAAGTTCTTGGCTGGGTAGCTCAGCTGATTACAGTGTCATCCCATACACCAAGGTTGTGGGTTCGATCCCCAGTCAGGGCACATATAAGAATCAACCAATGAATGCATAAATAAGTAGAACAACAAATCGATGTTTCTCTCAATCCCTCTCCCTTCCTCTGTCTTTCTAAAGAATAAAAAAATTAATTAAAAAATAATAATGGTTAACTTTTGAGTGCTTACTATGCCTCTGCCATGTGCTTTACAGCTAAGACTCATTAGTCCGGCCTCTTGGCTCAGTTAGTTGAGCATCATCCCAGGCACCAGAAAGTCGCTGGTTTGATTCCTGGTCAGGGCACATGCCCAGGTTGCAAGCTTGATCCCCAGTAGGGGGCATGCAGGAGGCAGCTGATCGATGTTCTTTTTCCTTTTTTTAATATGTTTTTATTGAAGTTTTTAGAGAGAGAGGGAAAGAGAGAGAGAAAGTGAGAGAGAAACATCCATCAGCTGCCTCCTGCACACCCCCTACTGAGGACTGAGCCCGCAACGTGGGCATGCACTGGGAATCGAAACTCTCAGTCCATGGGTTGACGCTCAATCCACTGAGCCACACCAGCTGGGCGATCAATGTTTCTATCTCTCACTTTCTTCTCTCTGAAATCAATAAAAACATATTTTAAAAAAATAGCTATAATTATGATCTCTATTTTACAGACCAGGAAACTGCAGCACAAAGAGCTTGAGTCACACAGCTAGAAAGGGGATTTCAGCTCAAATCTTCTGGTTCCAGAACACTGGGCAGGAGTGGGCACACCTCTGTCCAACTGCCCGGAGACTTCCCTGGGTGGCGGCGCCCTCGGGAGTGTCTCCATGCTCTTCACCCTGAATCTCAGGACTTTCCACAGACCTTCATTCATTCCTCCCTCCCTACTCATTTCCTGAGCTCCTGCTCTTTGCCATCCCCTGGCTGGGTACCAGGGACACAGAGAAAACTCAGGCATGGATTCACTCTCAAGAAGGCAGGATGTTTTCACCGGAGTCACATGCTCAAATGCTTCAGGCACAGGCGGGAAACCTAAAGGAAGGAAGCGGCCTGGATCAAAGGTAATAGGGAACGGCAGGGACTGTGGCAAAATGGAGAGCTTATTTTAGCTGAAGGGTAAGGTGGGGGTGTGAATGTTATTTTTAAATTTTTTTTATTTTTCACTTTTTGCCATAGGGAGCCCATAGGTTCATGTGCCACCACCCACACTCCAAACACACATCACACAAAATATAACATGAAGCAATGCCTTCCTTCTTTTTTAAAGACACGGTTTCTTTAATATGTTTTTATTGATTTTAAAGAGCGAGGAAGGGAGAGTGAGAAAGAGAGAAACGTCCGTCAGCTGCCTCCCACCGGGATCAAACTGCAACCTGGGATCGGGAATCGAACCTGCAAACTTCTAGTGCAAGGGGCTATGCACCAACCAACTGAGCCACACCAGCCAGGGTGTATTGCTTTCCTTTTAAAGATAATTGAGCTCAAAAGCAAGACAGAATCTTCCTGATGCTAAAAAGAAAGAAAGCAAAGCCACAACAGTGAGAGGGGGCGAAAGTCAAGCGGCCCACAGGGAAGCTGGGAGCCGTAGGACCGGAGTTTTACACCCACATGGGGGCAGAGGTCAAGGGGGAGGCCCTGGGAACATCGGAGCTGAACGTGAGAGCTGCATGAGACTGGAGCTGAGAACGGGCTGGCTCTTTCAGGCACGGAGCACAGAGGAGAAAACCCATGCACACGCCTAGGGGTGCAACATGGAAGCAAGCCACCCAACAAACAGATACCTTTTTCCTCCTCGGTGGATGGCAAAGGTCACAGAAATCAGAATCCCAAGGACTACCAGGGTATGAATTGGGATTCAGACCAAACCTCGGGTGCAAAAACCTGCTCTGAGAAACTCATGAATAACATGGTCAGAAACCTGTATAGCCTGTAAGACTGTGGCAGAAGCCAAGCAAGCTGGTCCCAGGGGTGGCCGTGGGGTCCAGGTAAATCATGGGACTCCTGCCAGCAGGAGAAACACAAACAAGTCAATGACAATTTCCATGGTGACACCCCCATGGGAGAACTTGCCCAATTGCACAGCTAATAGTGACCAAACCATGCCTCTTCCCTAATGCTATTTTATAATTGGGAACACTGAGGGTAATTGTTTAGGTATGTTGCCTAAAGTCAGTTAGCAATTAATTTCTCTGTACCTCAGTCTTCTTAGCTGCAAATGGACAATACTTTTAGCCTACGTTTCTCATAGGAGGTTATAAAGATGAAATGAGATGCTACCTATAAAGCACTTCTTAGAACAATGCCTGTCACATAATAATAGTGTTAAAATAAGTTTTAAAGGGTCAGAGCCCTGGCCAATGTGGCTCAGTAGTTATAGTGTCGGTCCTCGCACTGAAGGGTCACACATTCAATCCCCAGTCAAGGGCACATGCCTGGGTTGCAGGTTCGATCCATGGTCCGGGCCGGGGTCATGTGGGAAGCAACCAATCAATGTGTCTCTCTCACATGGATGTTTCTCTCCCTCTCTCTTCTCCCTCCCTTCCACTCTCTAAAAATCAATAGAAAACTTGGGTGAGGATTTTAAAAACAAATACATAATTAAGGGTCAGAGATAAAGTAAGTTTTAAAGGTTTAAAGATAAAGAAGGAATAAAGTCTCTAAAACAAAAATAGGACTTTATGCCCTGGCCGGTTTGGCCCAGCGGTTAGAGCGTCGGCCTGCGGTCTGGAGAGACCCGGGTTCGGTTCCCGCTAAGGGCACGTACCTCGGTTGCAGTTTGTCCCCGGCCCTGATTGGGTCATGTGGGTGGCGACCAGTCAATGTGTCCCTTTCACGGTGATGTTTCTCTCTCTCTCTCTCTCTCTCCCTCCCACTCTATCTGAACAAAGTATCGAAAAATGTCCTCAGGTGAGGATAAAAAAAAAAAAAATAGGACTTTAGGAAGAAAGAACAGGTGCATTAGGAAAAGAAATCCTAGAAACAAAAATGTAGATACTAAAAAGCCTAGTCAGTCTTGCAAAGACACAACACTTCCTAAGCAGAAGAGGGACTGGGTTTCAGACGGGAGCGCTGGAGCTGGAGCAGAAGACACCAGGGATTTCAGTGACTAATTCCACCCTTGCCTGAGACAAGAATTTGGGTGTGGTGGAGCTTGCTACATAATAGTTTCAGGCCCTGGAGACTTTCAGTTTTGCATGTCTTTGTGTTCATGGTTTATATCCGAAGTAGACAGTTGATCAGGTGGTAGGCACAGGGCCAGAATGGCAGCCAGATTTCTGGATTCAGATCCAGCTCTGTGAAGTGCTAGCTGTGTGACCTTAGACATGTTAGTTGGCTCTCTGACACTCAGTTTCCCATCTGCAGAATCGCACCTAGGAAGGGAGAATGTCAAGGTTGAGTATGGGCTCCAGAATTAGACCGCCAGAGCTCAAGTCCAGACCCCAGCACTCACTAATTAGGCAAGTCCTGGGCATGTTATCTAGCTTCTCTGCCTCAGTCTCCTCATCTATGAAACAGGGATGTTTGTGAAGATAAAATAAGCTAATATACATAAACATACGTATGCATAATATATATGTAAGATACATAAAATACTTTAATACAATACTGGCACTTAAGTGCTTAATAACTTTGTGAGATTATTATAAAGATTAAATAAGTTAATTGAGCCCTGGCCGGTGTGGCTCAGTGGTTGGAGTGTCCACCTATGCACTGAAAGGTTTCGGGTTCGATTCCCTGTCAAGGGCACATACCTGGGTTGCAGGTTTGATCGCTGGCCCCAGTAGGGGCACGTGTGGGAGGCAATCAATCGATGTATCTCTCTTACATCACTGTTTCTCTCCCCCCCCTTTCCTTCCACTCTCTCTAAAAATCAATGGAAAAAATATATTTGGGTGAGGATTAACAAAAATAAATAAGTTAATTGATGTTCGGACACAGCAGGTGTTCAGTAAACGTCAGCAATGACTGCCAATTCCTGGGTTGCTTCCTTTTCACTGCGCACCCAGCATACAACTGCTGAGTGAACAGTGGTTGAACAACTGGGTGGTGGGAATGGCAGGCAAGTAGGGGAGATGGGTGCAGGCCAAGCCACAGAAAGGAAAGGGCCCTGTTGTACCCAGGATGCAGCTGTCCCTCCTCTCCTGGGTTCCAGAGAGGACAGGAGTACGCCATCCTCACCTTCCCTTCCCCTCCCACACAAGGGCATTACATCACAGGATTGGAAGAGCTCATGGAGTTTATTTGGGTAGTGCAAAGAGGACTGGAAGTTTCACTTCTGTACACAACACACACAGATATACACATTCTGAGCAACGGTGCTCGAGGTTGGCATTGTCTGCTTTGGGTCCCGAGATTTCAGAGTCCGGTGGGGATCTCAGGAGCCTGAGGAGGCCCAGGCTATGGAACTGTGCTGGGGAGAAACTGTGATGGGGAGGAGTCTAGGAGCCCTCCCCTTGCCCGCCAGACCTTGGGAACCCTTTCTCCTCTCCCTCCCTGAGAGCCAGAACCCCACTCCCATCCCTGCTCATCAGCTCCCTCCTTCTCCCCCTTCCTTAGGGAGCAGTTCCCACCTCACCTGAAGGGAAGCAATGAGTGCGCTAGGTCCCCATGTGGCCCCATGCTGGTTCTGGCCCATCAGGATTATCCATGTTCTCATAAGAATCTGCATCTGGTTAGGACCAGGAAGGAGTGAAACAGAGACAGCTGGAAGTAGGCGGGGAGAGTCAGCCTCAGGACAACAGGGCACAGCAGGAGAAGCACCCACCTTCCTCATGACTGGGACCAGGCTGGGCCCTAAGGGAGCGGAGCTGGGGGGCTGCATACAGGATCCCTCTCATATCCTCATAAGACTGGGATCCTGTGTGGGCAGGAGATAGAGAGCTGGAGGCTTGGCAGCCATGCTGGGGGTTTGGGGAAGGGAGGTGCAGCCTAAGATATAGAGGAAGTCTGAGGGGCAGGGAGAGCTGGGAGGCTTGACCCATGTTGTACTAGGAAGGAGTAGGTAGGGTCAGCATCGGGTTCGGGGCCCTTGTTAATTTTAGGGTTCAGTCAGGGTTAGGTTATGGTCATGGTCAGAGAAACAGTCAAGAACAGAATTGGAAGGAGTTAGAGTCATGAGGAGATTGTGGAGAGAGCGGGAGTTGAAGCTGAGGTCTGCATTGGGGCTGGGGTGAAGTGGAGGTCAAAGTCCAGGCTGGAATTGGACTGGGATCAGGGTTGATGTTTACGGTTAGGAGTGGGGTAAACACTGGAGTCAAGATCAGAGTTGGGGTAGGTACTGAGGTTAGACATGAGACTCAAATCTAAAGTCAGCATTGTGCTTGGGTTTGGGGTCAAAGTCAAGGTCAAGGTTCTGCCTGGAACTAGAGCTGAGGCCAGGTCAACCCAATGTGGGAAAGGTTGGCAGGTCCCAAGCACTTCTCACCAAGGGATGTTGCTTCGCGGCTGGGGTCGCAGGCTGTCCCATGGGGGCTTAGGAAGTCTGGAGAAGGAGGAGGGGAGTCACTATTCCTCCTGGTCTCCAGGTCACACACACCATCACCACCACCACCACCACCACCCACGCTCTTCAGGAATGTGACCAACCTCACAACACACACCTTTTGTCCTGGCTACTGGCTGGGCCAGCTCGTCACCCTCGTTCTCATAGGACTCAGATGCTGCAGGAAGAAAAGAGAACTTCAGGGGCCACTCCTGCCCTGTGGCGGCTCCACAGCTCTGTGGGTCCTCCCAAGTCACCGAGGCTCCACAAGGACCCCAAATTACCATTGGAGAAGGAGTCTTCATCCTCAGGACCCAAGGCCCCGTCCTCAGGGTTCTCATAGCCGTCCTCAGGGTTCTCGTAGCCGCTGCCATCTGGTGGAGGGGGGGGGGTGTCCAGCGAGGGTCCACAGCCCACTGAGAGGGTGGGGGAGCCACGGGGGAGGGCAGTCTTACCCTGGGAGAGCTGGTCCTGCCCAAAGTTGGAGTCATTCTCGTAGAACTCGGAGCCCTCCTCACTGTCCGGCTCCTCATAGGCCTCCCCTTCTGGGCCTGGGATTTGGGGATAGGGATGGGACCGAGTCACGGCCCTCCTCCTCCAGGCTCAGGTCAACTATTCCTGCCACAAACAGACCGCTCCAACACCCCCCCCCCCCATGAGTCAAGACCCCTCCGCCATCACCAGCTCCTGTCGGGCTCAGGGACCCCGCAGCTCCAGCCTCCTGGACTTCGTTGTACGGGTTTCCGTAGGACTGGACGGCGGCCCCCAGGCTCGCAGCCCACCGCAGGGAGCGTCCTGGCGAGAGGAGCATTGGAGGGGGCGCGGGAGAAGGTATGGGGTGTCAGAGCAAGGGGTCTGCGCGGCTGGGCGGCGGCAGAGGATGCTTCAGGCTGAGCGGAGGACTCCGAGTCTAGGCACCCGGGGATCTAAACCCAGGGGCGTGGCCTCAAGTTTTGGGGTGCGGTTCTGCGGAGATCTCCGAACAAGACTTTGGTCCCAAGTCCTGGGGGCGGCCTGGGGGCGGGGCTCAAATCTGGGTGGGTGTCTGCACCCCTCCACCCCCACCCCCCCCCCCAGCGCGGCGGGCTCTCTCCCAAAGGCAAGGCGGAGCTCCGAGCTCGAGCTCGGAAGGCAAGGAACTGGGTGGGGGAGGGGGGGGAGCCCTAGCTCTGGGTCCGAGACCGGAGGGGCGTCCTACCCGTGCCAGAGGTGGGCGTGGAAAGGGAGAGCACGTTCCCGTACTGGTTGTGGGCCCCGCTTCCTGGGGGAGGCGTCACTTTGAAGAATCTGGAGGAGGGAGGGGAGTTGCACCGGGAGGCCAGCCTGGAGGGCACTGGGAGAGACACTTACAATTCAGGCCAGGCCCTCAGAGATTAAAAAGTGGTCACTTGTAATTAGCTCCTCTGTTCTAGGTCTTGTAAGTTACTTACAGAAGTAACTTTGGATCTGGGCTTTGAAAGTTGGGGAGTATTTCAACCTCAGAGATGGAGAAAATGCACCCTCAGCAGAGGAAACAGTAAGTGCAAAGCATGAAGTGAGAGAGCAGGAGTGGACACTGAGGGGCACTCGCATTACCTTCTGGCAGGGTCAGTCATTCGCTTTCTTTTTCTCCTCAGGATCAGGGCTGGTGGGAGTTAATGGAAGTGATCAGAGGAGGAGCTCTTTGGCTGGGTGAGGCTTTGGGGGGTGCTGGGGAAGTCACTTGGGTCAATGGAGATGGGAGTGCCCAAGGGGCTAGGGAAATTTGGAGGGCGGTTAGGGAAGGGGTGGGGGCCAGGATTCTGAAGTCTGTGAGGGAGGGATGGGAGGAGAGAATGTTGTCAGACTGGCCAATGTGGGCTCTCCCGAGGGAGATGGTGTAAGGTGTGGCAGACTCTTTGGAGGACATGGCTCACCTCTCCGAAGACAAAGAAAGCTGGCCACGGAACCCATGCAGAAGATCAGATAAACTAAAGTCACAACAGGGACTCTCCAGCCACCAGTCTCCAGCAGCCAGTGCCGCACTGCTAGAGGGAAGGAGCTATGAGACAAGGACCAGGGCTGGCATCTTGTTTCCCAGCCTCAAGATCTCAAAGGGCCATAGATGTGGGGGGAAGGGGCAAGACTCAGATTTTTGAAGTCCCAAGCTACAAGGAGGGTTCTCCTCCCTCTCTCTGAGGACAGAGACTGTGCCTCAGAGCCTGGCACAGGGCCTGGAGCAGTATCTATTAAGCAGACCATGAAGTGTCAGGAGTAAGGTGAGCATGATGATCAGCTTCCTGCTGCAGTTAAGAACAGCCACAGTCAAAGCGAAGGGCAGAGTCGAGTTCAGAAGGTGGAAGGTGGGATGCAGCGAGGTACTGAGGTAAGTTTGCAGTAAAAGTTGAGATTGAGTTTGAGAGCTGTGTTTAAGGTAGCATGGTAGGATTGCTTTAGAAGGAACAATGGGCAGAACATGGATGGAGTAAGGCAGAGGGAGGATGCCCACATTCCTGACGTTGGCACGTGGGCAGGTGGTAATGTCCTTCACTTACACAGGGTCACCCAGAAGACTATGCTTGGAGAAGATGTTGAGTTTGATGTGTGTGTGAGTGTGTGTGTGTGTGTGAGTGTGTGTACGTTGAACCTACAGTGTCCATGGGGCATCAAATGGCAATTCCAGGAAAAGACTGGGTGTGAGGGTATGGAGCCTAGAATCCAGTCACCAAGGCATGGTGGCCCAAGGAGCCAAGAGAGGAAAGGAGGTCACATAAGAAGAGTGTGTAGACACGAATGAGATAGTGCAAACAGGGATAAGGAGTGGAGGAGGAAGGAAGACTCTACTGAAGCTGATAGGAAGGAGCAACCAGTGGTAGGAGAAGACCCAGAAAAGCAGTATCTTGGAAGCAAGGAGGAAAGAGTGGCCATCAGTGTTCAGTGTAGCGACTGGGATTCAGGCTAAGGTTGGCACTAGCCGAGGGGAGCCAAGGTTGGCTGGCTTCCAGTTCTTCCCAATAGCTCTTTACACAGGCCCCATAATTGGGAAAAACCCTACCTGACCGGGCAGTGACTTTCAGCTGCATCTCAATGGTTGTGTTGCCATGGTAACAGTGATAGGTACCAGCATCTTGAGCTGTGGCCCGAGGCAGCCACAGAACAGCCCCTCCCCTGAGGGTGCCCAGGACCCACATCTCTCTGGCGGGAGCATCCTCACTCAGGTTTAGGCTCAGCAATGAGATGTTAGGCTTTTTGGGATGCACGTGGATCCAGGAGATGGGTCCTCTGGCCACAGAGGCAGAAGGCACCCCACAGGGCAGACAGAGCGTGGAGCCAGGGGCCACCGTGAGGTCTGGGGTAAGAAGAGCCAAGGCTAGGAAAGTGTAGGCCTTGGGGTCTCCTCCCCCACAAACCCTCCAGTTCCCAATCACCATCCCCCATCCCTGGACTTCACTTTCTGGCATTTTCTTAGCACCTTACCTTGGTTGAGGCTCTGGTTTGGGCTGCCCCCAGGTGGGACACATGCACGGTCTGTCTCCCAGAGCTCAGGGTGGCCTTTGGTCCACACATACAGCTGGGAGCTTCTGAGGCGATCAGAAGAGGGCCTGGGGTCCTCTGAGGACCTGTTCCCCAGGTCACAGCCTGGGTCATTTAGGTTTAAAGCCTTCCACCGGAACAGCTCCCCTGGGAAGAGACCCGGAACCAGATACAGAGATATGCAAGAGAGGCAGTGAGAAACAGAGACACAGAAAGACAGAGATAAATAGAAACAAAGACGCAGAGACAGAGAAACAGCATCTGAGAAAGAGATGAGACGTAGAGATACAGAGCAGTTCAGTGCTGAAGTCAGTGTTGAAGCAGTTTTGTTGTTCTTAGTCCTCACCCGAGGATATTTTTCCATTGATTTTTAAACAGAGTGGAAGGGAGGGAGGGAGGGAGACAGAGAGACAGAGAGAAACATTGACATGAGAGACACACATCGATTGATTGCCTCCCAAACACACCCCAACCAGGACTGGGGAACAAACCTGCAACCCAGGTAGGTGCCCTTGACCAGGAATCAAACCTGCGACCCTTTGGTTCACAGGCTGACACTCTAACCACTGAGCCACACTGGCCAGGGCAATAGGAATTTTTAGGAGCCACCTACAACTGGCTTCCTGCTTGATCTTCAGACCCTCCAGGCCCCAACCCCTCCAAGTCCATGTTGGCCACCAGACCTCCTCCAGCCCACCCTGCCCCACACTAGACCTCACCGCTGCCCTCCACGCTGACTGTCCAGCCAGGCTGCCAGGCCTGCTCAGAAAGGGGCCCCTGCTGGCACAGGTAGAAGCCCCCCGTCTGGTCAGAGATGTTGGAGATGAGCAGCAGGATGCCCAGGCCTTGGCTCAGATGTAACACGGGTTCTGACTGGCACTCCTGAGTCCAGGCCAGCGGATCGGGGGTACTGTGTGAGGAGCCCTTGAGACACGGCAGCACAGCACTGCCTCCCTCTGTGGAAAGAGGCGTGGGGGGGGGATCCGCTAGCCCCCTTCACTCCTCACAGTGGGTTATAAACCCAATGACCCAGACCCCACCAACTGGGAACGGATGAGCCCTCAGAATCCTTCCATCCATGGACTGAATTTTACAATTAAGAAAATGGAGGCTCAGAGAGGGTAAATTACTGGGCCAAGGGCATCCAGCCAGAACCAAGGTGTCCGATACCCCAACTCCTTCCATTGGTGCCCTTCAGACATACCTTTAGCCTTCACCAGCTGTGATTTCTGGGGCCTGACTCCAATGGGGGTAAGGAAGAGGAGGAAGAAGAGGAGGAGAGGAGGTGGCATGGTGGCCAGACTCCCCGAGGCACCCAGCTTCCCTGCGCAGGGCATGCTGGGGCAGATGTGGGGCTGGTGGGCACTGAACCGTGGGTGTTTGCGGGGGCGGGTGGGCATTCCCCTGGGGGAGGAAGGGGCAGTCACACCTCAGGCCCCTTCTTCATGTACCTCTCCAGACACACAAAGTCCCCTCCTCCTGGCTACACTTTTATTTTCATCCCAGCACTTATCGCCAGTGAAATGATCTTGAGTCTACTTGCTTACTTTCTGGTCCCTGGACTAGAGTAAGAACCTTGCAGCAGAGACTGTCTTGTTCACCACTGTATGCATGGTGCCCTGGAACAGTGCTTGGCACATTGAAGATGCCCAATAATTATTTACTGAATGAATGGATCCAGTTTTAGGGGCTCCCTCCTTCCACTCCTCCCTCCTTCCACCTCAGGCTCTAAATCCATTTCCCTTTTCACACACACACACACACACACACACACACAAACACACCTCATTTATTCATTCAACCAATACTTCTTGAGCCACTGTCCACTTCTATACAACCAGCCCATCACTGATATTTTGGGATCTGCCAGACCTGAGTTCGAATCCCCCACCTCTACTACTTGGCCAGATTTCTTCATCTCTCTAAGCCTTAGTTTCTTTCTCTGTAAACTGAGGGTAATAACAGTACTATTAAAATATTGTTTGTGAAGATTAAACAGGACAATATACATATGGCATTTTTAGCCCAGCACCCAGCATAAACTAGGCTTTCAGTTAATGAGAGACAATATCAATTATTGGCTAAGAACTCAAGCCAGACTGCCACTATAGCTCCTTTGCAGTAGTCCTGAGAAATGACAAATGATTAGTCTCCCTTTCTGTCCCAGTTCTTCCCCAGAAGCCCCTGCTTCAGTTATGGAAGAAACCCACCTAGAAATGAAGAAATGAAGGCCCCCAGAAGGGTAACGTGTTGCCTGAGATCACACATTGAACAGGTGGTAGGTACAATGAGCACTGGAACCCAAGTCCTGACTCTTAAATCTGCCCCCCCCATCTCTCTCTCTCTCCTCCTCCTGCTCCTCCTTTATTTATTTTCCTCCTTTTTCTCCTCCCTCCCTCTCTCCCTCTCTGTATGTGGACGTGTGTACACGGAGCTGTGTCTTTCACTGCTGCAGTCACTCAAAGAAAGGGGCCAGCGACCCGGGAGACCTGCTTTCTCAGTTGCCGGTTCCCAGAGCCGCCTCACTGGGCTGTGGCTTCCTGTTTGCCTGGGCAAACCCCAAGGGACCCTCCATCTGGCAGGGCCCCCACTTCCCTTTGGTCAGGTTGGGGTGACTCGCAGGAGGAAGAGTGGGGCATTGGGGAACGGAGAGGGTGAGGAAGCAGGACTTTTTTTATTTTTTATTTTTGGTTTTTTACCTTTCATTCAACAGAACCTCCATAACCCAGTCACTAGCTTCCCAGCTGCCTCACGAGCAGTCTTGCTAGAGCACATCAGCCCCCTGCCCGGACAGCGCGTGGCTTTCATCTACCTGAAAGAAACACTCGGAACACGGCCTCCCAAGGGCTGAGCCTGCCCACCTCCACTTCTCACCTCACGCTCCACCCCCACCACTCTGGCCCGCACTCTGCCCCTCTGGACAGCGCCTTTCACCACTCAGGTCTCAGTTCAGGTGTTGCTTTCTCTGAGACTTTCCCTGACCCTGTTTATTTCTTTCCCTGCATTTGCCCCAGTCCCAAAGTATGCCTGTTAGTCTTCTCATCTGCCTCCTGTCCTTGAATGTCCCCTCTTCCACAACAGGGATCTTTACTGTCTCATCTTGTTCACTGACATCTAGAAGGTGCTTGACACATTTTGTCGTATAAATGAAGATGTTAAAAAGGGTGGAGGAAAACTTTTCTCTTTCCCCCATGCATTGTTACCAAGGCTAGTCCATTTTCTAGCCTAGCTATTTCTAGAATCAACTTTCTCTTTGGGCTCTTCCCTTCCCAACCAGAACCATTTCAACAGTCCTTTTTGGTGGGCTCTCTGTCTTCCCAACTACACTCCACAGAGACAAAGCTTCCTTGGTATTGGTCATATGCTTCCCCTGCTCCACAGGCTTCAGTGGCTCCAAGGGCCTCAGGATAAACCCCAAGCCTGACAGTTGACTGGAGCTTGATTTATTTTTATTTTTTTTATCCTCACCCGAGGACATCCTTCCATTTTTTGTTCAGATAGAGCGGGAGGGAGAGAGAGGAAGAGAGAGAGAGAAACATCGACGTGAAGGGACACATCGAGTGGCTGCCACCCGCACGACCAACCAGGGTCGGGGACAAACTGCAACTGAGGTACGTGCCCTTAGCGGGAACCGAACCCGGGTCTCTCTGTACCGCAGGCCGACGCTCCAACCGCTGAGCCAAACCGGCCAGGGCTGGAGCTTGATTTAAAGTCATCTTTTCACCCACTTCCCAAGAAGCCTTGCCACATACACAGAGAGTCCTGAGGACAGAAAGCTACTGAGGGCAGTAAACTACTGGGGATTTATAAGCCAGGCATTGACCTGGCCAGATTTACACTTTCTAAAAACTCCCAGTGGCTGCAGTGTGGAGGGGAATTGGAGGGAGGCCAGAGAGATCAGTAAGGAAAGTGATCATTCATTCTTTCACCAGATGTTTATTTCTCAGGCACTGTTAGGTACTAGAGAAAGAGCAGGGGACAAGAGAGACAAGATTCCTGATCTCAGGGAGCTTCGATTCAAGTTTTGAACCCCCAGAAGGGTAAAGGGGGACAAGTAATAAACAAGTTAACCAATGAATAACTTCAGATGGTGAAAAATCTCTGATGTAATCTAATGGTGTGACAGGTGATTGGGGATGGCTACTTGGACAGGGTGATCAGGTGAGGCCTCACTGACATGACTTGAGCCAAGACCTGGGTAGGGGTTAAATCTTGGTAGTGTTCAAGTAAGGTCATGTTTAGTTTTGTTAGAAATTGTCATACTCTTTTCCACAGCGGCTATACCATTTTACATCCCCATTAGGAATACAAGAGAAACACAGTTTCTCTGTATACTTACCAGTAGTTGATATTATCACTCTTTTATTTTAGCCATTCTAGTGATATCTACTTGTGGTTTTAATTTGCATTTCCCTCATGGCTAGTGACGTTGATCATCTTTTTATGTTCGTATTTGCCATCTGTGACATCAGTGACATGTCTATTCCTGTCCTTTCTTCTTTTTTAGATTGAACTAGATTTTAAGCAGGGGTGGGACATGATCTGTTTCACAAAGATGAGTCTAGTTGCTTTGAGAATAACTCAAGGAGTCAAAAGGCTACACCAGGGAACAGTTAGGCATTTGGGAAGTTCAGGAGAGAGAGGATGGGAATAGGGCTGGGTGTTAGCTCTGGAGATGAAGAAAAAGGGACACATTCTGGAACATTCCGTCCTTTGAAGGTGGAGTTTACAGGACTTACATGCACCTGGAGGGAGACACGGGTTTGAGAGAAAGGGAATCAAAGCTCTGGACCTAAGTTTGAGTTGCTTGTCAGCGTCCAAGGAGAGATGTCAGGTCCATTCTGGGAGGAAGTCACAGATAAGAGTTTGATCTAGGGCAGTGGTGGGTGGAGAGGAGGGATTTGAGAGGCACTGGGAGGAAGAGGGGTATTAGCTGGAAGTGGTGAATGGTTGAATATCAAAGTGGGAGTGGGGGCGTGTGAGTTCCTGACTTAGAGGACTGACTACTGGGAGACTCAAGCGCCTAGAAAAGTGGAGCCGACTCAGCCCTGCCCCGCGGGGCGCTCCAGGAGGGCGGAGGTGCTGGGAGGCCTGGCCACAGTTCGTTGAAATGTGAGCCTGGCTCCAGCGGAAGGGCGGCCAGGAGCCGAGCAAAGGGCCGGCTCCGAGGCTCGGGGGAGGCCGAGAGAGCTTCGCCCTCCTTTGGATGAGGCTGGCGGGCAATCCGGAGGAGGTATAATTTGAACAGAGTTTCCAAGGTCACGCGGAGGCACCAGAAAGCCTTTGATGAAAAGAACTTCGGGGATTGAAGGACCAGTATTCTCGAACTGCGCTCCCCCGGAAGGAAGGCGAAGAGGGCGGAGCCTAGGGCCCGGGCCGAGGTCTTCACGGATATCTTCGGCCGAGGCTCGGCAATCCCGCCCCAACCCCGGCCTCGGCTTCCAGCCGAGCTGATCCGGAAACAGCCGAGCGGATCCGGAAACAGCCGAGAGGACCCGGAAGCGGTGAGCGCGGTCACCAGGGAGTGCGGGACCCCGCCGTTTGCGCGGAGGCGATGGCGGCAGCTGTGCCGGCGGCCGTCGGTGAGGATGGCCGGCGACAGCGGCCGGGGACTGGTACGTGATGTCGCGTCGATGCACGCGAGGGGCGGCAAAGCCGGAGGCGGGGCCGAGCTCAGCAGCCAGCCGGTGGGGGGTGGTGAGGGGAGACTGGAGAAAGGGGCGGGGCCACGCCGTCAGGGAAGAGGGGCGGGGTCTGGAGCCACGGGAGGGTAGGCGTGGCCTGGCGATTCTAGGGGTAGGGCTGGTGAGTGGGGCCCAGGGAGGAAGGGGCGGGCCAGGTGCGAAAGGGGCGGGGCCCTTTGAAGGCTGGGATCTGTCAGGAAAGGGGATTGGGTGAACTGGGGCATTGGGAGGAGGCGGGGCTATAAGTACCAAGTCAGAACTAGGTGAGAAGAGGCGGGGACCGCGGCTGCAGTAAAACTAGGTGTCGGGACTTTCAGATTTGGTGGCCTGGGTTATTGGGGCTCCTGGAGTGATGGGAAGAGAGACTGATCCTTGTCCCCCCACAGTGCTTGATCCCCATCCCCAGGAGGGGGCAAAGGCTGAGGCTGAGTCAGGGGAGCTCTGCCGACTTCGGGCTGAGCTGGCAGGAGCCTTGGCAGAAATGGAGAACATGAAGGCTGTGGCTGAGGTGAGCGAGAGCACGAAGGCTGAGGCTGTGGCTGCAGTGCAGCGGCAATGCCAAGAGGAGGTTGCTTCCCTGCAGGCCATCCTGAAAGGTGAGGCAAAGTCTCTTCCCAGACTCCCCATCAGCCCCATAGAGGGGAGGGCATGACCAGAAAAGGGTCAAGGGGGCAGATAAGCTACAGGGTAGGTTAGCAGAGCTGCCTAGCCCAGGACAGGTCTCTGTACCCAAAGGAAGGGGCACCCTTTTCTCATTTGCACAGAGGCACTGCCTGTGCTAGCTGCAGCTCTGTCAGTTCCAGCTAAGGTTAGCTCTGAGCTTCCACCTGTTCCCTTGCCCCCTGTCATTTCTCGTCCATTGCTGATGACTGATCAGCTCTGAAGATGAGCAACTTCTCAGTTCCCTGAAGCACCCTCATTTGAGCCTCTGGGCTTCGGACTCAGCCCTGGGCCCTGTCTCTGTGAGTCTAATCCTCTGGTTTCCTTCCTTCCCCGAGCACTCCTACATTCCCACCCACACCCCCACTCCCAACGCACAGTGCACCGACTTCTCTCCCTTACATCCTCTGTATGTACTTGGGACGCAGCACCGTCCATTGCCCCAGATCCCCTAGCTTCTTTTCCTGTTCCCTCCTCCTGGAGTCAAATGCCCAAGTCTCTGAAATAGCTTCCAGTCCTGTCCCACCCCTCTGGTTTCCACAGCCACTACTGCAGTGAAGCTCTGGACAACTCCCTTGGACTGTTAACACCAGCCTTCTCACAGGTCTCCTTCTATAGTCTGGCCTTGACATAGGCTTCCAGAGTAAACTTTCTAAAATTCCCATCCCACCATGTCATTTTCCTTTCTTTTTTTTTTTAATCCTCAACCAAGGACATTTTCTCATTTTTTGTTCAGATAGAGCGGGAGAGAGAGAGGGAGAGAGAGAGAGAGAAACATCGATGTGAAAGGGACACATCGAGTGGCTGCCACCCGCACGACCAACCAGGGCCGGGGACAAACTGCAACCGAAGTATGTGCCCTTAGCGGGAACCGAACCCGGGTCTCTCCGTACCGCAGGTCGACGCTCCAACCGCTGAACCAAACTGTCCAGGGCTCATTTTCCTTTCTAACAGCTGCTCCTGTTCCCAGACGCCTGGGGCTGTATTTCCCACATATCAGGCATCCACATACTACCTGTGCGACGTGGTTGCTTCCCATATAACTTACCCTGTTATCTACTTAATCTTTGTTCTTTAAGTAGGTCCACTTTTTTAAAACATGCATTTTTTAAAGGAAGAAGCATCTTGCTCCCCAGAATATGTCCTCAGTTTGACTTAAATAAATTCTTATGAAAATTAAAATATATATATTTAAATGAAGGAAACTTCCTGTCCCCATAAGAGAAACTATCCTAAATCATCATCTTAACAACAATGATAATAATAATGGCTAACACTTATTGAGCACATCATAACAACAACAATAATAATGGCTAACATATATATGCCAGGCACTGAGCTAAATGCTTTATAAATATTTAACCTTCATAACAATCTCCGTGAGGTAGGAACTATTATCTATCTCCATTTTACAGAGGAACATCGGAGGCCCTGGGAGGTTAGATAACTTGCCTAAGGCTATACAGCTAGAAAGCTGCCGATTGGCATCCAGGCCGTCCGGCAGCAGAAACTTTACTTTTTTTTAAACAGGATACAGTCCAAATTTATGTAAGCAATAACTTAGTTCACACCATGCAATAAAAAGTACATGAATAAAAATAAATAAATAAAGAGTACATTAATCAAAATACACAAGCTTTAGTAGGTTCTAAACCGAACTTTCTTTTTTTCCTCCAGCACTTACAGTTTGTTAGCGTTTCTACTGAGAGGTAAATTATACACAATGGTGAAAAAGATGAACAGACTGGTTGTCTATTTTTTTTCAAATATGTTTTTTAAATTGATTTTTAGATAGAGAGGAAGGAAGAAGGAGAGAGATAGAAACATCATTGAGAAAGATACATTGATTGGCTGCTTCCTGCACACACACCCCTTCTGCCCACTGCAGTGGAGATCGAGCCCAAAACCCGGGCATGTGCCCTGACCAGGAATTGAACCAGGGACCTCTTGGTGCATGAGACAATGCTCAACCACTGAACTTTTCCCATATTCCCATTTGTTTTCCTGATAAAGTGCAGCCTGGCTACTGGCTGAACTGTTTGGATTTGGCTAAACCTTTACTTCTTTTTTTAAAATTTATTTACTTATTTATTTATTTTACATTTTTTTCTTGATTTTAGAGAGAGAGGAAGGGAGAGAGAAACATTGATGAGAGAGAACATTGATTGGCTGCCTCCTGCATGCCCCCTACTGCGAATCGGGCCCACAACCTGGGTATATGTCCGTCCTGACCAGGAATCAAATTGGCGACCTCTTGGTGCGTGGGTCGATGCTCAACCACTGAGTCATACCAGCCGGGCATTCTTTTTTTTAAAATCTTTATTGTTGAAAATATTATAGATGTTTCCCATTTTTTCCCCATTGACCCCCTCCTCCCTACTCCCACCCCCCTGAAGCTTTATTTGTAATGTTAGTACATATTAAAATAAGTAACTATGAAAATAAAAAACAAGTATTTAGCCCGGTTGGTGTGGCTCAGTGGTTGAGCATTGACCCGTGCACCAAGAGGTCACCAGTTCAATTCCTGGTCAGGGCACATGCCCGGGTTGCAGGCTTGATCCCAGTAGGGGGTATGCAGGAGGCAGCCAGTTGATGTTTCTGTCTCACATACATGTTTCTATCTCTCTCTCTCTCCCAAAAGATCAATAAAAACATTTTAAAAAGAATTATTATTAGCTATTGACTGTTATTGCTGTATATTGATATATATGTATGTATTGTTATTCGTATCTAAATATATGGAATAGCCCTGGCTGGTTTTGCTCAGCGGTTAGAGCGTCGGCCTGCGGTACAGAGAGACCCGGGTTCGGTTCCCGCTAGGGGCATGTACCTCGGTTGCAGTTTGTCCCCGGCCCTGGTTGGTCGTGCAGGTGGCAGCCACTCGATGTGTCCCTTTCACATCGATGTTTCTCTCTCTCTCTCTTCCTCTCTCTCTCCCACTCTATCTGAACAAAAAATGGAAAAATGTCCTCGGGTGAGGATAAAAAAAAAAAATATATATATATATATATAATAGATATCATACCTTCAGCATTATTGTATACCATGAAGAGGGCTGAACACCATTCAGATGTCATCTCCTTTGATCCTGTAACAATCCATGGTGGAAGGGGGGGGTCATTAGTGCCCCCATTTTGCAGCTCAGGACACTGATGCAGAGAGGTTAACATTGTCCAGGGCCATCGCTCTACAAAGCCCACTGTCTTCATCGCTGTGGTAAATTGCCTCACGGAGCGTGTCAGTGTTGGAGAGCCCCCTACTCAGCCATGGTGGGGCCAGCACAGTGACCCTCCCTCTCCTCTGCCCTTCCTGCCCTGCCAGACTCTATCAGCAGCTATGAAGCCCAGATCACTTCTCTGAAGCAGGAGCGGCAGCAGCAGCAGCAGGACAGCGAGGAGAAGGAGCGGGAGCTGGGCCGCCTGAAGCAGCTGCTGTCGCGGGCTCACCCCCTGGACTCCTTGGAGAAGCAGATGGAAAAGGTTGGGGTTGGGATAGCATCCTCCTGACCGCTGGGATTTGGAAAGATGTTGAGACAGCCATGCGTGACTGGGCAGGGGGTTTTGGTGTGCCCTCCCAGATCATTGGGAGCAGGGCACTCAGTCATCATTCTAGGCACAGCACATGCTAGCTCCATACTTAACAAGGTCCGGGCTTGCCACTTACTAGTGACTTCACTAGGTTCATTTACCGCCAAAATTAAGGACAGTCATAGGGGAGAGAGCTAACACTTCAGGATGCCTCGCATGCACTAGGCACTCTGATAACTGCTTGACAGAGTCAGGCTCCCTCGTCTTTCCCCTAAAACGAGGTCCATTAGATTCACTTAACAGATGAGTAAGATGAGGCTTAGAGAAATTCAGTAATTCATCTGGTTTTACACATACAAAGGAGATTTGGGACTTAAAAACCTAAGCCATCTGGCCCTGGCCGGTTTGGCTCAGCGGTTAGAGCGTCGGCCTGCGGTCTGGAGAGACCCGGGTTCGGTTCCCGCTAAGGGCACGTACTTCGGTTGCAGTTTGTCCCCGGCCCTGGTTGGTCGTGCGGGTGGCAGCCACTCGATGTGTCCCTTTCACATCGATGTTTCTCTCTCTCTCTCTCCCTCCCACTCTATCTGTACAAAAATTGGAAAAATGTCCTCGGGTGAGGATAAAAAACAAAACAAAAAAAAAAAAAAAAAAAAACCTAAGCCATCTGGTTCTGAAGTTTTTATTCTGAAAACAGTGTATCATCTCCTTTACTATTTTTGTTGTTATTAACAATAGTTGGAAGCACATATTACTAAACTCTTCGTCTTTCAAAGCAAGTTCACATCGTTACCTTGCTTGATCCTCAGATAGGTACTTAGCTCATTTTATGTGTGAGGAATCCAGGCTCAGGGAGATAGTCAGCCGCCTGGGTAGAAAGACAAAGGTCAAAACAGGAGCCCCAGAAAGGAAGGTGTCTGACCCCGCCTTCCCGGTGAGGAGTGCTCCCTCCGGAGCAGCTGCCCGGCGTGAAGGAAGGCTCTGCTCACAGAAAGCCAGCTGGGACGTGGAAGGAGCTGCGGGTCTGGAGTCGGGCAGTTCCAGTCCTGGCCCAACTCCTGCACTTGGCCGTTGTCTGTCTGCAGAGCACGGATTCCAAGGCTTCAGGTGGGATCCAGTGTTTTGTTTGGGCCACGCAGGCCTACCCTGCCTGTTGCCATGGTTCACAGGAGAGATTTGGAGGGTTAGGCTGAGTTTGTTTGTTTTTTCTTAAAAATATGTTTGTTTGTTTAGAGAGAGGTACACACACCCATCGATGAGTTGCCTTCCATACACACTCCGACCACGGATTGGGTCCGCATCCTGGGCATGTGCCCTGGCTGGGAATGGAACGGGCGACCTTTTGGTTGGGGGGGCTGATGCTCGATCACCTGAGCCACACCAGCCAGGGTTAGACTGAGCTTGTTTGATGTAGGTGTTTAGTGATTCTGATGACCTGCAGCTTTCTGCCTCGGACAGCTGGGCGGATAGAGGGCCATCTTGCTGACCTAGCGCTTGTGGGAGGAGAAATGGCCTCGTGACGTGGCTCAGATGTGGCTGCACTGGGATGGAGGAGCCTGTGTGACGTCCAGGTGGAGACGTCCAGAGGCTGTTGGCTGGACATGTTCAGCAGGGTCCCAAACTTGAAAAGAGACAAAAGAAATAGTCAGCAATGTGGTGATGGGAGTGTGGGAGGACATATCAGTTAGGAGAAGGTTTGAAAACCCACGTCAATAGTGGCGAAAATAAGAGACGTTTATTTTTCTTTTCTTTTCTTTTTTTTTTTTTATCCTCACCCGAGGACATTTTTCCATTTTTTGTACAGATAGAGTGGGAGGGAGAGAGAGGAAGAGAGAGAGAGGGAAACATCAATGTGAAAGGGACACATCGAGTGGCTGCCACCCACACGACCAACCAGGGCCGGGGACAAACTGCAACCGAGGTACATGCCCTTAGCGGGAACCGAACCCGGGTCTCTCCAGACTGCAGGCGGACGCTCCAACCGCTGAGCCAAACCGGCCAGGGCAAGAGACGTTTTTCTTCGAGTCCAGAGAGAGACATTTCCGGGACTGATGTGGCAGTTCAACAAGCCACCAGGGAAGGTGCGAAACTTATTCTCCAGAGCACTTGAGATCTTGCTCCCTGGACTATGTCGTCAGTTTCGCTCAAATAAACTCTCGTAAGAATAAAAACAAAAAGTCTTAGGAACGCGGGCTCCTCTGTGTCGCTCTTTGCCACAGGTAGCTAGCTTGCTGCCTCAGGGTTCGAGGTGACTGCTGAGTGCCAGCCCTGTCCACATGCTGGCCTGCAGGGAGGAGGAGGAGTAAAGGAAAGCACACCCTCTCTTTAAGGGGTTGCCCTGGCCCTGGCCAGTTTGGCTCAGCGGTTAGAGTGTCGGCCTGCGGTCCAGAGAGACCCAGGTTCGGTTTCCGCGAAGGGCACGTACCTGGGTTGCAGTTTGTCCCCAGCCCTGGGTTGTGCTGGTGGCAGCCACTCGATGTGTCCCTTTCATGTTGATGTTTCTCTCTCTCTCTCTTCCCCTCTCTCCCTCCCACTCTACCTGAACAAAAAATGGAAAAAATGTCCTCGGATGAGGATGAAAAAAATAAAAATAAGGGGTTGCCCTGGAAGTTGCCTGCACACCTGCATCCGTCTCCTTAGCAGTAACAGCCATGTGGCCATGCTCAGCTCCCGGGAAGCTGAGACATGTAGATGGTATTCTATAATATAGGCTATGTGCCCAATGGAATGTTAGGTTCTATGATAAAGAAAAAATGGATATTGAGGAAGAAAAATACGTTGAGCAGGCGGTCAATGGGAAGATAGTGGTGGCTCTGGTCCCCCACCCCCATGTGACCTGGGGAAGTCTGGAGCCCCCAGAGCCTCTGTTACCTCTAAAAGGGGAGTGGACGGGGCCGCCTCGGGAGGATTAGAAGAGCTGACGCGCATGGAAAGAAGGCTCTGAACAGACCTGAGGGGTCCTGCACGGGAGGGGGACTGTTGCTGCCCAACCCCCCCACTCCTTCAGGCCCATGAGGACTCAGAGAAGCTGCGAGAGATTGTGCTGCCCATGGAGCAAGAGATAGAGGAGCTGAAGGCAAAACTGCTGAGGGCGGAGGAGCTGATTCAAGAGATCCAGGTGAGGGGAGGCGAGGGGGCGCTGAGGGAAGAAGGGGCGTTGCAGGACCCTGTCCCCCAGCCTCTTCCCTGACCCCCTTCCCTAGAGACGTCCCCGGCCTCCCCCTTCCCTGCATGGCTCCACGGAGTTGCTGCCTCTGTCCCGGGACCTCTCTCCCCCATTGGAGCCTCTCGAAGAGCTGAGCGGAGATGGGGGTGCAGCGGCCGAGGCCTTCGCCCACAACTGTGACGACAGCGCCTCCATCTCCTCTTTCTCCCTTGGCGGTGGGGCCGGCAGCAGTGCCTCCCTGCCCCGTGGCCGCCAGGGCCTGAGCCCTGAGCAGGAAGAGACAGCCTCTCTGGTGTCCACGGGCACCCTGGTCCCTGAGGGCATCTACTTGCCCCCTCCTGGATACCAGCTTGTCCCGGACACCCAGTGGGAGCAGCTGCAAATGGAGGTGAGTGGAGTGGGTAGGGTCCCTGTCTGCGTGCATCCATCCCTCCCTCCTTGCACCAGTATTTACTGAGCACCTACTATGCCCAGGAGCTAGAGCTAGGGATTCCACAGTGAAGAGAAAACTCCCTCCCTCTTGGTGCTTCCTCCTAGTAAGGAGCCAGACCCACACATTTGCATGGCTACTCAGTGTCACAGGGTGACCCTGGAACACAGGGTCCCGGCAGTGCTGGAGACTAACCTGGGTGGTGCTTACTCTCTGAAGATTAGGGGCAGAGGAACTGCAAGTTCAAAGCCCTGAGGATGGACAGACCATGTGTGTCTGAGGAGTAGGAAGGCCACCCTAAGGGAGAAGAGATAAGATCAGAAAGGAAGGCAGTGTCCCCAGGAGGTCAGTTTTAGTGCCATGGAGTTTGCATTTCAAACAAGAAGCAGTGGGAAGCCTGTAAGGGGTTTAAACCAGGGAAAGGCCAGCTCTGCTCTAGACTTTTGACAGACCACTTGGGCCTGTCTGTAGGAGTGAACAGTACCTCGGGAGGGCAACAGGAGAAGTGGGTGTCTAGTTGGGAGATGCTTGACATCGTTTTTTGAAAAATTTCTCTTTATTGATTTTATTTTATTAAAAATTTTTTTTTTTGCCCTGGCTGGTTTGGCTCAGCGGTTAGAGCGTCGGCCTGCGGTCCGGAGAGACCAGGGTTCGGTTCCCGCTAAGGGCACGTACTTCTTCGGTTGCAGTTTGTCCCCGGCCCTGGTTGGTCGTGCGGGTGGCAGCCACTCGATGTGTCCCTTCACGTCGATGTCTCTCTCTCTCTCTTCCTCTCTCTCCCTCCCACTCTGCCTGTACAAAAAATGGAAAAATATCCTCGGGTGAGGATTAAAAAAAAAAAAAAAAAAAAATTTTTTTTTTCTTTATTGATTTTAGAGAAAGAGGAAGGGAAAGGGAGAGAGAGAAACATCAATGAGAGAGAACATTGGCCGCCTCCTGCATGCCCCCCACTGGGGATCAGGCCCACAACCTGGGCATGTGCCCTGACCGGAAATCGAACCGGTGACCTCTTGGTGCATGGGTCAACGCTCAACCACTGAGCCACACCAGCCAGGCACTTGACATAGTTTAGAAGAAGGTTGTGATGGGACCAGGAGATGGCAGCAGAGATGAAGAGAAGTGGGTTTAGAATCTACTTTGGAGGCCAACCGGCAGGGCCTGCTGGTGTGTTGGATGTGGGGAGTGGAAAACAGAGGAGTCAGCATCAATTCCTGAGCTTTTGGCTTGAGTAACTGAGGATAATGGCACCACCAACTGAGATGCAAAAAAAAAAAAAAAAGGCGACAAGGCATAAGAGGCATGGTGAGGAGGGAGGCCTTCCCTGGAGGTTGGGGCTGAAACCAGGGTCTGTGGCAGGGGCGGCAGCTGCAGAAGGACTTGGAGAACATCAGCCGTGAGCGAGACGAGCTGCAAGAGGGCTTGAGACGAAGCAATGAGGACTGTGCTAAGCAGGTGGGTCCAGCCTCTGCTCCAGCCCCAGCATGGCCCCTGGCTGCGTGCCTCCTGCTGGGCCCCAGCCTCACCCTGCCCCCTTCCACCCACAGATGCAGGTGCTCCTGGCCCAGGTCCAGAACTCAGAGCAGCTGCTACAGACCCTGCAGGGGACCGTGAGCCAGGCTCAGGAGCGGGTTCAGCTGCAGATGGTGAGAAGTGTGATGGGAATTGGTTGAGGGGGCACGTGGAAGGTTGAGTCACCTGCCCTGCATGGGCTGCACCTGGAGTTGGTGCCAAGTGGGTAAAAGGGTTTCCAGGGTACCTGGCACTGTGTCCAGAGCAGGGGCTGTGTGTTCAGATAGAGCCCATGATGCACCTGCTCTGTGATCTTGAGCTGATCCCACAAGCTGGGAGCTTCAGCCTTGCCGCCTGGAAATTGAGATCATGGGACCTAAGCTTACAGAGTCATGAAGAGTGAAAACAAGGAGTGCAAAATCAGATACTCCCCAAGTCCAGACAAGAGCTGGAGTAAAAGAGTGGATCGGGCGGGTGTAGGCAGGCAGGAAGGAGCAACATGGGAAACAGGTGCAGGGGCGCTGCTCCTCAGTCCGCCTTGTGGGCATTCCCACTCAGTGCTGCCGGGTTTTCTGACTTGTCAGAGAAGCCTGAAATCTGGATTTTGTGTGTAGTCTTTCCAGTTTTTCTTTAATCTTCACCTGAGGATATTTTTCTATTTGTCTTCAGATGGAATGGGAGGTAGAGAGAGAAACATCGATATGAAAGGGACACATCAGTTGGCTGCCTCCTGCATGACCCTGACCAGGGCTGGGGATGAACCACAACTAGTCTCTCAATTTTTAAAGTTAGCAATTAATTTTTTAATTTATTTTTGTTACAGATGTACCCCCCCCACTGACACGCCCTTCCTCCCCCTCCTCCCCACTCCTGTCACGCCCCCCACCCGTCACCTTCACAGTATTGTCTGTGTCTATTGGTTATGGATATATGCATATAAGTTTTTTGGTTTATCTCTTCCTGCCCTCCCAACCTATAGTTAGCAATTTAAAGTTTATAAAAACATGCAGACTAAATGAAACAGCTGATGTGGCCTGTGACTGCCACTGTGTGACCTCCAAGTGACTGAGAAGGGTGGAGGAGGGTTCAGGGCGTGGCCTCCCAGGGGACTGGAGACACCTTGTCCCCCTCACCACCCTGCACTGACTCTGCATACCCAGGCCGAGCTGGCCACCTCCCACAAGTGCCTGAGCCATGAGGTGAAGCGGCTGACTGAGGAAAATCAAGGGCTCCGGGCCGAGCAGCCACCATCTTCAGCCCCCCGGGCCCTGGAGCAGGACGAGGGCCAGGAGGAGTCGCTGCCCAGCTCAGTCCCGGTAAGGGGAGTGCAGGCACTGAGAGCTGGGGTCCCCCCGTCGCACTTCTCCGTGCACGGAAAGCATTGGCCCGGGCCAGGGGACTTGGGGACAGATCTGGGCTGCTGTGTTCTCTGCGTCACCTTGGCCAACTCACTTGACTTTTCTAAGGCTCAGTTTCCTCATCTGAAAATGGTACCAAACCCCCTAGCCAGCACTGACGTGAAGAGAAAATGAGTTACAGAATGCTTGATGTGGAAAAAGCAGTAATTTGGTTTATTTTTAAGTGACATGGGATCCACAAATTTGCAGTCATCATAATCTTTGGTTTATAACAAGCTGTCGTCATTGATCTGTGTGTGGTCTTTGTTGATATTATTAAATTCATCTATTAAAAATGCGAAGGTCACCTTGGCCAGGTGGCTCCGTTGGTTGGAGTGTCATCCCGTACACCGAAAAGGTTGCGGATTCCATCCCAAGTCAGGGTGCTACGGGAGGTAACCAATTGATGTTTCTCTCTCTCTGAAAATCAACGAAAACATATCCTCGGGTAGGGATTAAAAAAAAAAAATGGCCGTCTGGTTGGCCTCAGCGGTTAGAGCATCAGTCGGCCCACTGATGGAAGGGTTGCATGTTCGATTCTTAGTCAAGAGCATGTACCTGGGTTGCAGGTTGGATCTCTGAGTTGGTTGGAGTCATTCAGGAGGCAACCAATCGCTGTGTCTCGCTCACATCGATGCTTCTCTTTCTTCCTCCCTCCCTTCCATTTTATCTAAAAGTTAATGTAAAAATTTCCTTGGGTAGAGATTAACAAAAAAATAACTGAAGGTCACGCCTTTGCCCACCCTGGAAATACAACTTAGATTCCTTATGTGTACCCATTCTGCTTGGCTCTGTTTCTGCCTTCCTGAATTTGACCATTCCCTCATTCTTTTTGGGTACCATTTTATTTATTTATTTTTTATCCTCACCCGAGGACATTTTTCCTTTTTTTGCTTAGACAGAGTGGGAGGGAAAGAGAGGAACAGAGAGAGAGAGAGAGAAACATCGACATGAAAGGGACACATTGGTGGCTGCCACCCGCACAACCCCAACCAGGGCCGGGGACAAACTGCAACCGAGGTACATGCCCTTAGTGGGAACCAAATCCAGGTCTCTGGACCGCGGGCCGACACTCTAACCGCTGAGCCAAACAGGCCAGGGCTTGGGTACCATTTTTATTATATGTACATATCTGCCTACACAATGGCGTGCTAACTTTAGTTAGTTGTTTCGATCTTTATTAAGGGGTGTCTTGCTCTAGGTAGCCTGGAGCTGCACCATTCCTCAGGGGCTCCCCCGGGGATGGGCTGCTTGCTGCAGGAGTCGCTGCTGGATCAGTGTATTGGCCCCTCGCCCCACGATGGCTTGCCTCCCCTTTTAACAGTTGCCTTCCTCCCTTCCTTTCCCCTCGCCACACTCCCCAAGCAGCTGGTGGCCCCTGCTGCCTCGGCCCCTCCTGCCCCACACCCCAGTGACTTGCATCCCCTCCAGGAGCTGCAGCAGCTGGTGCGCCACATGGGGCAGGAGGCAAGGGCCCATCAGCAGGCCCGGGAGCACGAGGCAGAACGCCTTCGGATTGAGATAGTGAAGCTGCGGGAGGCGCTGGAGGAAGAGACGGTGGCAAGGGCCAGCCTGGAGGGGCAGCTGAGGGTTCAGCAGGAGGAGACAGGTGAGAGGAGAGGAGATGAGCCCCCCCCCCCCCGCCCTGCTCTCGGGGAGGTGGACCTCCCCTCGGGACAGGCAAGGAGGGGAGAGAGGAGACGGTGCGAGAACGAGCCTTGACCTTTCTTTCCTTTCCACACAGAGGTGTTGGAGGGTGAGTATGGGCTGGAGCCTGGCGGGGCTGGGGTGGGTGAAGGAGGAGGGAGGGTGTGGGCCTGACGTCTTGTCCCTGCCTGACTTCCTAGCCTCCCTGTGCAGCCTCAGGACAGAGATGGAGCGGATCCATCAGGAACAGAGCAAGGTGAGGCAGAAGTCAGGCCAGACTGGGATGAGGGGAAGGGGTGGCAGTGTGGAGGAGACCCTAGCCGGCCCCTCCTGCCCTTTGTGTCTGCCTCAGACCAGGCTCAGGCCCTACAGAAGAGGCCGGTTGCGGGTGGTGTAGAAGGGCTACCCCTCCACTTGGCCACATACCCTCCCATCTGGCCCAAGGTTCCAGCCTGTGTCCTATCCCCCAGGCTCAGCTCACAGACCTCCTCTCAGAACAGAGGGCAAAGGTGCTGCGGCTGCAGGCTGAGCTGGAGACCAGTGAACAGGTGCAGAGGGATTTTGTACGACTGTCCCAGGCCCTGCAGGTATGGCACGTCCCCTCACCACCAGGCTGCCATGACTCTGGATGACTTGTCCTGGGTCATGAAGACAGTCCCCCAGTGAGAGGGGTCCTCTTTCTCCTTCTGGGGCTGGCATGGTTCTTTTCTCTGAGCTCCTGCTCAGAAGCTCCGATGTGTCCATCTTCAGTCATAGGAAGCCCGTACCCAAGGCCTGGCACACGGCGTGCTCATCACGTCACCTGCCCTGTCCCACGCTTCCTCAGGCTGCCCTCCTGGGGGGCCCGCTTCTTCCCTTGAACCTTTTTCCCCATGGATTGGGGGAGGTGGAGCCCCTGGGTACATCTTGCCCCTTGTGGAGCTGGCAGGTGGGCTGGGGGCTGCATTTCCCACCAAGAGCCTGCTTTCCTCACTGGACCCCACAGGTGCGCCTGGAACAGGTCCGCCAGGCAGAGAGTCTGGAGCAAGTGCGCAGCATCATGGATGAGGCACCGCTTAGGGACATCAAGGACATCAAGGACACCTGAGGGGCCAGGCCCACCCGCTCTGGGGAGACTGCCTTTCTCCACTGCAGAACCATGAGGCCTAGGCTTTGGGGTCTCAGGATGGGGTCTTCCTCCTCTCTAGGCCTGGGGTTCAGGGTACAGGGACACCACTGCCCTGGCCCTCCAGGGCCTCCTCCCAGGATTGGCCAGGCCTTCTACTCCCAAGGACAACACTGGGTGAAGATCCCTGCTCCCTCCTGGAACCAAAGGTGCAGGCTCAGCCCTGTGGCTCTCTGGCTGCTATGCTGCCTCCTGGGTCCCAGCCTCCTGTCCCCCAGCCCATCCCCGCCCCCTTCTCTAAGGCACAGCCAGCCTGTGGGTGGTGGCTTGGAGCCTCCTACGTGTGCGTCCTGGACAGGCAGCTGCTCTCTGGACTGCGTGACACTAAGATGTTTGTCCCCAGGGGCCTGACCCAGGCCCCAGGATGTGCATGGAGGCAAGGCCAGACTTTTCTGTCATTTATTTTCAATAAATAAGCAGCTCAGCTCGGTCGGTCGCCTTGTCCCTGCGAGCCCCACGTGGTTGGGGAAGGGGAGATTTTACAGGGTGAAAGGGAGGGTGGGTTGCTGGGTGGGGAGGAAGAGTGACGGGGATGTTGTGTTTATAAACAAGAATGTTGAGGGGGAGGGGGATGTGGGGTCTGTGCCACAGCTCTGGCTAAAGATGTGTCACTGTCAGGGTGGGGAAGAAGGGCAAAAGGACTGTTTACTTCCTTCTTTCATCTTCTGGATCTGGAAGGAGAAAGGAAGGGTTGAAGCGGGTGACAGGAGAGGAAGAGTCCCTCCCAGGCTCCCTGCTCCCACCCCCCACAGACTCACCTGGAGGGTCGCTCAGCACCCCCCATACCCACCTGTGTCCCCAGACCCCTCCCAGCCACTGCAGCCCCAGCAGCAGACAGCGCAGCGCCCAGCCAGCGCAACGCAGCGCAGCGCAGCCAGCAGACGGCGCTGCCCAGAGGCAGGGCAGTGCCAACCTGTAGAGTAAGGGCAGCAGCCTACCCCTTGCTTGGAAGCATGGCAGTGGCGGTGTGCGAGCGCAAGTGACCTCGGATGCGGCCCGAGGGGGGAAGGGAGTCAGGTGGGGGGCACAGCAGCTGGGGGGCGAGGGCAAGAAGGGGGGGCGATACCTGTGACACGGTTCAAAGAGATGGAAGAGGGGGAAACGGGTTATCCTATGGCCAGAGAGGACAGAGAGAGCCGTTATTGGGGGGCGGGTGTGGAGGAACAGGCCTGAGGAGGTGGGGCACCAAGGAGACGGATCTGCACCAGGTGTAGAGTGGGCGGGGAGGAAAAGGACCTAGTGCACCTTCCTGGTAGACAGTGGTCCTGCCAGGACCAAGAACACACCTACTGAAAGGAAGAGGGTGGGGGCGGGCGCCTTCGCAGCGCAAGGGGTGGGGCTGTGCTCAGGGCCCAGGGGCTGCCGGGGCTCCGAGGAGGGGAGCCTCTTACCCTCCAGATAGTTCCGAGCAATGAACTTGAGGAGTTCATCAAGCCCGATGACTGGCAATGAGATCTTGAGGACCATGAGCCACTGGGTCAGGTCCAGGGCCCGGAGCTTGAAGATCATCTGGGAGGGGGAGTCAGACGCAGTGAGGACAAGTGCCCCTCTGAGGAGGGGGCAGACAGAGGCCAGAGGACCCAGTGCGGCCCCAAACTAACCCCACCTTCTTCCCTCTGTGAACCCTGTAGTTCCAGTGGTCACGGGCCCCTACAGAGGCTCCCTGTGTGGTGGGGAACAGGCCCAGGCCAGAAGGAGGCTCACCGGCAGAGGGTCAACATAGAGGATGAGGAAATGGAGGGACATGGAGAGGCAGATGGAGCCCAGCAGCCAGATGTTCACCCAGGGAGGCATCCGAAGGAGGGACTGGTTCTCAGAGAGGCTGCAAGTGGACGGCCGGGCAGAGCAAGGGTGGGAGACAAGAAACAGTGGTGAGGAGAGGAGTGTGGAGACGAAGGTGGCAGGAGGAGGGGGGCAGGCCTACCTGTTGAGAGCATTGCACATCTCAATGGTCACCAGCACAGACAAGGCCATGGTCATGGGCTCCGGGGCCTCAAAGATCTCACACTCCACACCCTCAAAGTCGGGGTTATCCTCAGTGCACTGCATGAAGTGAGTCTGCAGGGGGAGGGGGAGGAATGGGTCCCACCGAAGCCCCCAGACCCCCTCCCACGCCCTGCCCCCGCCCCCTCTTCAGCCGCACCAGCTGGCTGTAGCTGACGTGAGGGCCGTCCTCTGCGTACAGGAACCACCAGGCCGCTGCTCCCACAGTGGCTGCGCCCACGTAGCCTACGGGACAGAAGATGGGAGTTGGGGTCAGGGCTGGGGAGGTGAGAGGCGTCAGGAGGACCTTACAGCCATGATCAGCTGGTTGAGGAAAAGAAGCAATCAGGGCAGCTGCCTGAACGGGCTGGTGTCCCAGAGGGGGCAGTTCAGAGGGTTGGAAAGGATTGTGGGGTCTCATCCTACTCACCCCCAATTGCCATGTAGCGGAAGAAGAGCCAGCCACTGATGAGGGGTTCCTTGGGGCTCCGGGGGGGCCGGTCCATGATGTCCAGGTCTGGTGGGTTGAAGCCCAGGGCTGTGGCTGGGAGCCCATCAGTCACCAAGTTCACCCACAGCAGCTGCACAGGGATCAGGGCCTCGGGCAGCCCCAAGGCGGCTGTCAGGAAGATGCTGCCAGGAGGAGGAGGTCACATGTCCGTCCTGCTCCCAGACCTGTGTCATCCCCCACCCAGGCTTGGCTCCTCCTGAGCGCCCTCCCTGGCTGCTCACCAGACCACCTCGCCCACGTTAGAGGAGATGAGGTAGCGGATGAACTGCTTCATATTGTTGTAGATGGCCCGGCCCTCCTCCACAGCGGCCACAATGGTGGAGAAGTTGTCATCGGCCAGCACCATCTCAGAGGCGGTCTTGGCCACGGCGGTGCCGGAGCCCATGGCAATGCCGATCTCAGCCTTCTTCAGAGCAGGGGCGTCGTTGACACCATCCCCTGTCTGAGGGAGAGAGAAGGTGGGACCTGGCCTCTGCCACACGTCCCTCCTGCATCTGACCAGGGCCCTCAATCAGCCCCTCTCTCCCGGGGCCCCTAGCTCCCGAAGATAACTGTCCCAGTGGACACTGAGCAGACTGCCCCATGCCAGACTCCAGGGTCCCTGCCTGGGCAGCCCTGTCAGCCTTCTCACCATAGCTGTGATCTCGTCATATGACTGCAGATACTCTACAATCTTCGACTTATGGGCAGGCTCCACGCGGGCAAAGCAGCAGGCGCGACGGCAGGCCTCCCGCTGCTCAGCCAGGGGCAGGTCATCAAACTCCCGGCCAGTGTAGGCTCGGTCTGTCACCTCTTCATTCTCCCCAAAGATGCCAATTCGTCGGCAGATGGCAATGGCTGTGCCCTTGTTGTCCCCAGTAATCATGATCACTCGGATTCCGGCATCACGGCACAGCTGGATAGAGCCTGTGACCTCCTTCCGGGGAGGGTCCAACATGCCTACCACACCAACAAATGTCAGGTCCATCTAGGGAGACAGAGCAGAGGGCAACACAATCAAGGAGGAACTCAGAAAATGAGCCAGGGAGGAAGCTCTTGGGGAGCTGGGGGATAGCTGACTCTGGGCCTAGTGTTTGAACCTCAGTGGGGCCTTGTAGGCTCAGGATAGGAAATGGTCCTTGTTTACACGTGTGCCCGCAGGCTTGGCAGTACCAGGCCCATGGTAAGTGGCAGACTGGGTCTTCCACAGAAAGAAGCTGAGCTGGAAGTTAGGCCAGTGGTTTCTGCTTTTATTTATTTATTTAATTTTTTTTATCCTCACCCAAGGACATTTTTCCATTTTTTGTTCAGATTGAGCAGGAGGGGGAGAAAGGAAGAGAGAGAGAGAGAAACATCGATGTGAAAGGGACACATCGAGTGGCTGCCACCCTCACAACCCAACCAGGGCCGGGGACACACTGCAACTGTGGCACATACCCTTAGCGGGAACCGAACCCAGGTCTCTCTGGACCACAGTCCGGTGCAGCCAAACCGGCCAGGGCGGTTTCTGCTTTTAGAAGGGCCACTCACTTGGTCTATAGCTGTGGAACTGCAAGGCCACAGTGGACCCTCTGTAAATGAAGGCAGTGGACTTGGGTGCTATTCAGACAGCCAGTCCACTAGACAAAATGGAGCTTGTGCCAGAATGCAGGTCAATGGGCTGCTGCTTGCACCGAGAAAGTCACTGGAAATGTGCCAGCTGCCCCGAGTCTGGTGAGTGATCGCTGCTTTCTGCTCTGCGTGCTCAGCGCCTCACCTTCTCACGGACAAGGCCATGGATCACACGCAAAGTAACACTGAGGTTCTTTCAGATTCTAACGTCCTGTTATTCTAGGACCCGTGATAAAGTAGGAAATTACAAGGGTGGTGGAGAAGGTGAGGCAGATGACTCTGGGACAATGGGAGGCTCCCATCTGCTCACCTCGTATTCCATGAACTTGGTAGAGTCATCCAGGATCATATCCTCTCGCTTCGGGGGGGTGTCCCGGGTGGCCAGAGCCAGGCAGCGCAGGGTGTCCCGGCCAGTGCCCCACTCCTTGATCACAGACATGATCTTCTCCTTCACTGGCCCTGTCATCGGCACCCGGGTGGTGCCAACTCGCACATAGTTACAACGGTCAATGACCCCCTCGGGGGCACCCTAGGAGACCAAACCAGCATTCAGAGACAATTATCTTTTTCTCAGGGCACAGTGAGAGGGCAGGGATAGGAGAGGGGTTCAGGATTAGAAAAAAAATGGGCTGGGATACATTGTGATTTCTGACCTTGACAAACATCTTGTTGCCTACAGCAGCCCGGGATTTGGCTGGGGAGCAATAGACAGACATGGACTTTCTGTCTCGGGAAAACTCCAGGGTGAATTCCTTCTTCATTAGCTGGCGGATCACCTGTAGAGAGGAGCAGGAAGGGAGAGGCCGGCATGAGATTGATGGGAGAAGAACAATGATGCTGTGCTAGAGGTGAAGAGTCCCAGACCCCCTGAAACATCATCAACAGGATATGGAGGCTGAGCAGACCCAGGCTAAGGCATCTGAGTGTGGCGCCTGTGGCACACTAATGGAGGGAATGCCAAGGCCAGTGCTGCCACTGTAGTCCAATGTCTGGTGTAAAGTACAAAAGAGCTCAGCGGGTGTGGCTCAGCGGCTGAGCATCAACCCACGTACCAAGAGGTCCCCTGTTCGATTCCTGGTCAGGGCACATGCCCAGGTTGTGGGCCAAATCCCCAGTTAGGGGCATGCAGGAGGCGGCCAATCGATGTTCTTGCTCATCGATGTTTCTATCTCTCTCCCCCTCCCTTCCTCTCTCTCTAAAATCAATAAAGAAAATAAATTTTAAAAAATAACAATAATAAAACAAACCACCATATATTTGCTTCTAGAGAGTTGGGACAGTGCAGACCTAGTGCCTGACATGAAAAAATTAGCGCTGCATAAAAACGAATGAGGGCCTTTCA